TTAAGAGCAAAGCTCCAGACTGGAATAAGGTTACTTCCAACATATTTTGCTGGACAATGCAGATGCAGCCTCTCTAGGTTCAAGAGGGAGACAGTGGCACCCATTCTCTATGACAGGAGGGCCAGTGCATTTGTGGCCTTATTTAATTTGCCTAAGGACACGAGGTATTCCTATAGTATTAGCTAGGCTATGCATAATGTGAAGATGGTTGCAGATGGATTTCTAGATGTATTGGATATATAACCAGAGGTATGCAAAAATGAAAATAATTTTAGAATTTTGGTTTCTACGCTAAAACATGTTTACAATTTCCTCCTCACAAGTCCATTCTCCTCTTTCCAAATGAATGGGTGTTTGTATTTACTATGATGACCTTTCTGTTTTAACTTTCATGTGTATGTAAATTACTAAATAATAACATGCTTTTGCAGTATTTAAAATTTGATAAGTATATTAATGTACTTCCTGTAATCTGTTTATTTGCTTAACATGTCAATGAGGTTTTTTTGTAGGCTGACATATGCATTTTCAACACCACCTGTTAAATTTATCTCTCAGTTTCTTCTTCGACTCATATGTTCTTTGAAAGTGTGTCGCTTAATCTTCACATATGTTGCGATTTTCCATCTCTAATTAATTTTAAACCAATCAGCAGAACTCTACCACTTCTATCTTCATAATTTAGCTGTTTTTTGTTGGTTTGTTTTTACTNACCAATCAGCAGAACTCTACCACTTCTATCTTCATAATTTAGCTGGTTTTTGTTGGTTTGTTTTTACTTATGACCAGTTTCTTCAGTTTAGGTGATATGTAATATTAAATAAAATAGTTTTATGTAATTTTCCTGTGCGTTACTGTTTATCTGAATTTTACCTTTGGATTTTGAAGGCTTTCTAGACATTGGCCCATGACAGATTTGGGTAGACAATCACTAAGCAATGTTTTTTCCCTTAAAACTCTGTGACTGTACTTGATTTAAGTAGATTACATATTCGATACTTCTTAGTAAATTAAAGGTGGAGAACTGACTTTCTAATTACTGTTATAAATCAAAGAACATTCATCATTTTCTCATTTTGGGTTAGTGACATCCACCCCTAATAACTGAATTTAAACTCCAAATGATTGGGTCCAATACGTATTTCAAAATGAAAAAAGAAGTATATAATTTTCATTGGTCCTCACAATTTTTTTTTTTCATAAATATTGCCGGATTTTGCAGTCTTAAACTTAAATGTTGACTCCTATATTTTCTCCAAAAATCATTGTTCTTTCTTTTTTCTACAAATCTTTGTTCCTTCTCAGGCACCTTTAACTGCCAACACTTTTTTTCACAGGTAACTGTAGGTTTTCTTGTCCAGCTGAGAAAAATTAAGTACATCATTCTACATTATAGATCCAGTTTCTTTGAATAATAACTCCTTTTTATTTCGCTCTTGGTCCATTTAGATGTACATTCCTTCAATCACACACAAATATAACTGTGCAACTACTATGTACCAAATATTCCATTGGGGCTGGGTATACCATGGCAGGCAAAATCCTTGCCCTTATGGAGCCTCTGGTCTAATGGGAAAGATATTAAGCAAATACTGTAATTCCATTGGCTTTGATGGAATTGATCTGAAATTAGTGTGTTCCCCAAATACGTCCCCTTGCTATTCCTTGTTCTCAACAGAAATGTCCTCTTTCTTTCCAAATCTTCTTTGTTCCTTTCTAAGCCCTATACAGCATTCAAATCCAAGCTCAAACCAAACTCACTCCATTAGTGTTTTCCCCCCCAAAGATTATAATCTTTCCCCCGTGATTATAAATAACATTGATATTACCAGAGCGAGTGCTATGTATTTGTCTGTCTTACTTATTAGAACTTCCCTGATACATCATTGATTCTAAACACTAATTAAATGTGTGAACCAGAGATTGAGCTTAAAAAAATTCCAGTGTCCTCAGTGGTCTGCTGGGAAATATTGAGAAACTTGTTCATGGGCGAAAGAGGGAGGAAAGGAGCGGGGAGAGAATCCCTGATTTGTAGTATTTGTGGCTTTATGTATTAAAAATACTTTCATCATGGACGATTTCAGTCTATCAAAAGGACATTACTGAATATGGAAAAAGGAAGAGACTTGCAGTAGCAAACCACTGTATAGTATTTCATACAAATTCCTGGGCTCATCTCGCACCTACTGATTTAGAAGCCCTGGGAGAGCGGCACAGCAATCTGTGTGTTAAAAAGCCTTCTCGGTGATTCTGATACATCCTGAAGCTTGAGAGCCACTGATCCCATATAATACCTGGCATGTAGTAGAAGCTTAATATATATTCTTTTAATTTGTTTGCACGAGTGATAATGTAACCAGTTTCATAAACATCATTTTCTCTACGCTATCCATCCTACTCTATCTGATCCTCTGACTTAGATAATAAAAGAGAATGTGATTTAAAGAAAAATAAGAAGAAGATATAACTTTGTGTGGTATGGAAAGTGAGATCAGTGTTGTATTCTAGAGCACAAGTTAGTCAAGGGAGATGGAAAATTTGCATTACGTGCGTTTATATTGTAGCTGTGGAAAATCAGCACCATGTGAGGGTAAATAATCTGGCTAAAGGTAAATAAGCATTGTTAAGTCTCTTAAATATAAAATCACAAGAAAAAAATGAGCTAAAAAGCAAAAGACAGAGACATAGACAACTGTGACCATAGGTTTTAGGTAAACTGGGAAGAATTTATTGTTCTGTCTTGTTTATTCTCTTCTGTGATAATTTACTAGCATAAGCTTCCACAATCAGGCACTGAGAGAAGAACAGCAAATATGCCAGTTTTGATAGTTGTTGAGAAAATGAATGCCATTTAATTAATGCTCTCTGTAACTTGATTAGTCAGTAAATCATCATTGTTGTGAGGAACACAAAATTGAGCGCAAGAGAAAGTAAAACTACCAATCTAATTAGGTAGCTTTTCCTGTTCTTTCCTCACTTTGGAGCTGTCTAATCTTTTGCTCCACTGGCTTCCTAAATTTTATACTCGGATTTAGTAAACCGGCCATTGTGTATATTCCATAAAACTCGCCACTAGATTTATTTAATCTTACAGTTTCTATTTTCCTCATAGAAACACATTTATACTCCTGTTTATCTACTGAGGGTGGAGTAGGTGTCTAATCTCCCCACAGCCAGTGTAGCTGATTCTAAGCTGCCTCTTTCCCAAACACACATACAAACGAACGTGTAACAACTCTCACCGCCCCCACCAGCAACTGTGCTGTGGCCCCAGAATTGTCTCCTCTTTCTCTCCTCGGGTTACTTAAAGTCAGGTGTGGTAAGAGTACCTACCCTGTTTCTATCCTGCCAACAGAGCTCATTGATTTTCAACCCTGGCTGTACCTTAGTATCACCTTGTGGTTTCAAAAAATAAAACCGATGTCTGGGCCCCACATGAGTCAGGCGAATAATAATATCTGCAGATGAGAGCCAGATGTCTGCGCTGGTTAAACCCCCTCCTGTGATGATTGTGTGCAGCCAGGCTGGAGAGCTGCTGATTTTCCCCGAGCTCTAAGGCCTGACAAACCCGAACAGGAGAAGGGGCTCTGCTGAGCCGGGCAGCCCAATTTGGAGACCAGCCTTGTCATAACAAAAGTAAATTGGATCCTCTGGCTTGGGGACTGGCTTTTAAAAATTGAAGGGGTTTCTTTAACTTGAAGTATTGCAATGCCAACTAAAACCTGAGTCTATAATGTGCGAATCACATTGTGAAAGCAACTCACTGCCTTATGTCCTATTCACTGAAAAGTGGGCTTAGTCTTCTGTGCCCAGCACTTAGTAGCAGGAGCTTAATAAATGTGTTGAATCAATAAACATCCTAAAACATATTTCACAACTCTTTTTTTTTTTAGTGAGATCATCAATAGTGCTATTATTTAAATATTTTTGGCTTTTTCCTTATGTCTTTGAACCAAGAATGGCTAGAAAAGTGTTTTTGTTGTTTTCGTTTGTTTTGTTGTGGTGATGGGTTGTCGCCTTTGTTTGTTTTACTTACTATTTCAGAAGTTTGTACACATTCTAGAGCCATAACTCTCCTAACTGCCTCTTCTAATGCCATCTATAAAAATGCTATCACAAAATGCTCTTATAAAAGTCTGTGTTCCTTGGTCGAATGCTTCGTGTGACTATAAATGTGAAAATACGATCTTCTAGGGGTTCTGCAGTGTGTAAGGCTGTCTCCAGGGGCTGCGAAGGCCTTTGCTCTGGGCCCTTCCTTCTGTTCCATGTAAAACGTCCTTTTACTTTTCCCTCACACGCCAGCTTCCTCCCTAGGTAGACATTAGATGCTATTTGCTTCCTCGCTGGGTGGTTGTGATTTTATTCTGCTTATGTAGGTGGTGGTTTGCCAAAAATAAAGCTTTGGATCAAAACAACTTAGTCAGTGATTATACGTAGACAGCCGACGTTTTCATTGTGACCTGCTGTCTCGCGTACATTTAATTTTCCCTGATGACTTTTAGCTGATAAGCATTTGAACGAAAACTTAATTTCAAGGCTTGTAGGGAGGCTTTATTTCCGCAGGAACACTTTAATTCTCTTGGCAGACTGTAATATCTAGGATTAAAATATAATAAAATAACTTTATTAAGTTTTCTTAGAGCCAAGTTTTCGGCCACCTGAGTGTGAGAAACAAAACATTTGCTGGGGGTGACATTGCTTTGACAGTCGTTTTAACCAGGAATAGTATACATAAAACTGTTACTTTAGTAAACTGTAAAAATGGATTAATATTCACAAAACAGAATTAACCTTGTAGATATCTGATTTCTAAATATTTTCAACCACCCTTCTCTTACAGCCTAGCAATGGGACTTTATATAGTCCATCAGAATATATTACGTACATAAGGTGAGTTCTGAAAGATGTTATTGTATGATCTTTTTCAAGTCCCAAATGTTTCAAAGTAAAATATCTTTCATATTGAATATCCTGAAGCATATCTGTTCCATTCTTCACAGGGTTTCGTCATTACCGTAAGTGCATTTCCTCTGCGTGAACAGTATCTGCCAAGTTTCTCCTCATAGAGGAAAAGTCCAAAAAGTCTCCAGGGATTTTTCTAAGTAAGTGCTATTTTCTCATATATTTCTAGAAAAAAACAACAACCATGCAGTCTGCTACGTTCATATAATTTACACAACACTTAAAAGAGGAAATAGAGCAAGTTGAAAGTTGCCATCTATTTATTGGGAAATTGGGGCATTTAAAGAGCTAGTGAACCTCTGAAATAATTTTTTGTATTATTTTTAAATTATCTGCAAAAGGAGTAAGTTTCATGAGTTCCTTGCTTTTTACACTACTACCATCTTTGCAAATCAGTGGCATTCCGCATGTGGCACTGTATTTCTGATAGGAAACTCAGTTCTTGAGGAAACCAGGGACTAGATCATGCCGGATAAAGATAAAATCTATGGTTAAAAGACTTGATTCTTGAAACTTTCCTCACTGTATTCATGTATATTAGATGATATATGAGATGATTAGCGTTAGAGACTACAAATGATTTAATCTAGGTTCCAAAATTAATTTTCAGCTATTTATATCTGTTAATCTCCAACCAGAAGTGGGAAAGAAATCTCTCCTCTGGGTGTGGGGATGGGGAGCACTTCTGAACCTCAGCCCGCCTCCACCTCTTTGCTGTGTTTCTCACCCTTGCCCTGCTTGTGCACAGAGAAGAGGGAAGTTGCTAATATAACTGATCAGAGTAAAGGGTCCACATTGGGTCTCAATTAATGACTTACTTTTTAGTTTTAGTGACATTTTCCTTTTGAAAATGCAATTTTGCAACCAAGCAAGGCCCTGGCTTTGTTTTTGTTTTATTTTTTGGTAGAGGTGGGGTGGGATTGATGCAGTCTGGATCACATTTTCTTGTCTTCTGAATTTATCAGGAGAATGGAGGATCTTTGAGGTCTGAGTTTGAGGAAGGAAATGGAATTTATTGAGTTTTAGGTAAAAAAATGCATGTATCAACCCACCTTGAACAAAAATTTTCATGGGAAATCAATGAGAGGACCCTGTTTCTCTGTTGTACATTGTATGTATGCGTTCCTTATGGATTCCCAAAGCAGGTTTCAAATCATCGGTGGGCTGCCCTGAGAACTGTTTCATCTTAATCTTATAAGAACCCTTGCTTTTATCTATATCATCTGTGTATTTTACTGGTCTTGAGGAGAGAAATGATCTAGACAATCTCTTCAAGGACTGTCCTCAAAGAATTTAAAATACTTTCCCCTCCCTCCTTCCCTGCCTCCTTCCTTCCATTCTTCCTTCCTTTCCTTCTTGTTTCTGTTTCTTTATTTGTTCTCTCTTCTTTGAAGAGGAGGGCAAGTCAGGATGAAAACCATAGAAGCATATCTGTGTCAGACTGTGGTATGTAACAGAGGAGAGGTACAGAAAATTTGCAGTGACTTTCTATATTAAGAAGAGATTCTTCCCATATTTTGTGTTGAGGTGGATGCAAGAAAAGATGTCTTGAAGGAGACAGTGATTTTTCCTAAGCTTCTGGCCAGTCTGGAGGGTGAGGTGCTATGCTACAGTGAAACCAGGAGATGGGCAAAACCATGGCAGTAAGAAAGAGAAGAGGCTCGGTTTATCTAGAAGTCCTTCATGCACTGACAAGTCCTCAGGACAGATAATACTTTAAAGGTCACATTTTTGCCACATAGATGAGGCATCTTGGGATCAGACAAGAAACTGGGTAGGAACACATTCCAGGTGTTATTTTAAATATTGGTTTTGGAATTTGTAACTGAGCAGGTTCTAATCATTGAAGGTTGCTGAGCTAGAAACTGATCTTTGGCGATTAACTTTTTTTGGCATAAATATGGAGGATTCATTTAAAGAAAAGATACTAGAGACAAAGAGATTTTTTTTTTTTTGCATATATTGTATTACACTGGTTGAGTAATAAGAGTCTGAAAAAAAAGTGGAGAAATTTGTAACCTGGTGAAATAGGTAAAAGAAGGAACAAACAGAATTGAGAGGCACAGTAGATGTAAAAAATGACTTGTTAACCGATTGGAAATGGTGATTGGGATAATAGATACAATGAGTCAAAATCTGCCATAACATTTTAAGCGTGGGGGCCCAAGAGAATAGTGGTGTATTAAATGGAAACATGAAAGATTGGAGGCCTCGCTGAAGATACTGAGTTCAGTGTTGGACAGACTGAATTTAATATGGTCACAGATATACAGATGGAAATGTCTATAAATATTGCTCTGGTGTTAGAGCTTATCATTTACACCTTCTGTGTGCCTGCCCAGCTCATTCTTTTTTCTATAAAGAAAATTAATCTCCCACAGCTTTTAAATGTCCCACCCCTTTTATGGCCACTCCAGCAGCACTGCTGTGTAGGCAGCTGGCACTGTGACTTGTTTCCCAGCCACAGCTGAATAGACACTTGGCCCTAACTGTGTCAAATCGGAATCTTTTCCATTGCTCCGAATAATTTAACTTGGGTTTTATTTCTTAGGGTCTAGTTTGTTGCTTGAACTTGGGTTGGGACATTATATGTATGTCGAGACAGAGAAATATAACTAATAAATATAAAATATAATTAAGCCATGTACAGAAAGATTCAGAGATGAGTGAACACATGGAATCAGGGGAAAGGAAATGGATATACATATATAAGCAAATTCTTTATGATAAATGAAATTCAAGATAGAAAAAAAAGAATATTGGCTAGGGACACAATACCATTTATATAATTGTATGATAAAAATAATTGTTGCTCAATTATAGCAGATACTTCTTGAGATAATGCCCTGTCTCATATTGGTTTTGCCTTTTTGATCACTGTGTAACACTGATAGACTCAAAAGTTAGACTTTTACCCAACATGGATAAATTCCATTTGCCTTGGAAGAAATATGAAACTATTTGAACTGAGTGACCCACAGAACAAATGTGATTTTAGTCATGTTACTCTCTAGTGGAAATGAACATGCCAAGGTCTCTAGGGGGTGGGTAGCTTGGATCTGCTCATTTTGATACTTGTGGATAGGATTTGGATTTTATAATTTAATTCAGTTCTTTCCATGCTTATTTAAACAAGAATCTTGTTTTTTGGTTACATGCAACTAAAATAAACAACTAATTCAGCATATGACAGTAGTGGAAAGAAAGTTATAATATAAAAGGGCGTTGACCATGGACAGGTGATATCCAGGCATTTACCAGTTAATTGGAGACTATGTATAAGCTGTTATGGGGATCACAACAAAGCAATATGGCATCATGCTCAACATATATAGCACTTAGTTTTTGAGGCCTTTTTCTAGACATGAACTTTTTTGGTCTACATTAACCACTTAAAATATTCTTGTATTTACTTAGATTTCACAAATAATAAATGTCAGGGTGAAAGAGGTTACACAACTCGGACCTTGTGACTAGTGAGTGGTGGTGGGCTTGGTCTCTAGGTTTTCTGATTTCAAATCTCAATTACTTTTCTCACTATATTATGTAATTATAGTTTTCAATTCAAACAGTTATGAAGCATTACCTAGATTTTGATACTTAAATTTAAAACTAAATAACTAAAAAGTAAAGTATAATAAGTTTGTTCTAATGAGATTTTAATAAAGCAGTAAAAATAAAGCTTTAAGATTTTGTGTTAGAAATTTCATTCTTGTTTTCACAACTCTTTCTTAAAAACTCTGCCCTTTTCATAAACCTGGAGTGCGCAGCCGTATGTTTCACGTAAACTCAATCCTTTGGCCTTAGTTTATAGGATCAGGGGTCAATGTCTAACTCAGGCCAGACCTACTGTGATTTTAAGCATAGACAGTAAGTTCCAGGGCACCAGGTCTGTAAGATCAAGTGGACTCAGGAGCTGAGAAGGCAGTTTTGGGGTAGTACATTAGGGCAATGCACAGATGGCTGAATTAGCAGAGAACTCTAATCTGTAAAAGTAAGGAAGGTAAGCAGAGAAAAGCAGAAATGACAGACCATTCAACCTCCTGGAAAAGAGAGAGAAATTAAGCAAATGTATTTGCTGTGGTTACTGTTTATCTACTTCCCAGGTCTCTTTTCATGGAAGGCTCAGTTTTACTTCTTGAGTATGTCCTTCCTCCAAACCCCCATTCAGTGGAAATGGGTTTCTGTAATAACATGTTGCCTACTTAAGAAAACATTTAAATATTCTAAGCAAATGACACTAAAATATAATATAAATTCACCTAGCAATAATAAGTGAAATACAAATTTATATCTACACAGATTTTAAGTGACATTTTGATTATANACAGATAATACTTTAAAGGTCACATTTTTGCCACATAGATGAGGCATCTTGGGATCAGACAAGAAACTGGGTAGGAACACATTCCAGGTGTTATTTTAAATATTGGTTTTGGAATTTGTAACTGAGCAGGTTCTAATCATTGAAGGTTGCTGAGCTAGAAACTGATCTTTGGCGATTAACTTTTTTTGGCATAAATATGGAGGATTCATTTAAAGAAAAGATACTAGAGACAAAGAGATTTTTTTTTTTTTGCATATATTGTATTACACTGGTTGAGTAATAAGAGTCTGAAAAAAAAGTGGAGAAATTTGTAACCTGGTGAAATAGGTAAAAGAAGGAACAAACAGAATTGAGAGGCACAGTAGATGTAAAAAATGACTTGTTAACCGATTGGAAATGGTGATTGGGATAATAGATACAATGAGTCAAAATCTGCCATAACATTTTAAGCGTGGGGGCCCAAGAGAATAGTGGTGTATTAAATGGAAACATGAAAGATTGGAGGCCTCGCTGAAGATACTGAGTTCAGTGTTGGACAGACTGAATTTAATATGGTCACAGATATACAGATGGAAATGTCTATAAATATTGCTCTGGTGTTAGAGCTTATCATTTACACCTTCTGTGTGCCTGCCCAGCTCATTCTTTTTTCTATAAAGAAAATTAATCTCCCACAGCTTTTAAATGTCCCACCCCTTTTATGGCCACTCCAGCAGCACTGCTGTGTAGGCAGCTGGCAC